ACAATGGGAAATGGAGCAGACCTACACGGCGGGAAAATATCAACCAAATTGGCCTTTAGTTTCATTGTTCTGCCCTTTTGCGTTTGGCCAGCAAAAAATCTTTGGAGAATTCACAAAAAGTAAGCCATAAAATATTTCATTCCGTAAGCGGTTATAAAAACGGGAAACTGCTGACTTTTAAACACCCCTAAAAACATTTTTTACAGCCACTAGAATTTTCTTTTGGACATTTTGTTGTGTTTAAACTCTCAGAGGGTTGCTGTTAAAATGTTAACACAATTTAATTGTTTAAGAAAAAATATTTTAGACAGCAGAGGAAGTCTGTCCTTGAACTAAGCTGCTAAAAAATATTTATTATTAGCTTTTTCTTTTGTTTCCATAAGCAGATATGTTTAAAAATTAACGAAATAACATATAATTCGTGGTTACAAATTAATTTTTAAGGCTCTATACAACTTAAAAATTTGTATTCGATAACCAAAACAGTTTTGTTTGTTTTTTTTTTTTTACTAAAGTTATTATTAAACAACTTTAACTGGAAAATACCTAAATTTTTGTACAACTTTAATTTTAAATTGATGTGCCTAAAATTGCTTAAAAAATATTGTTATTTTAAATGAAGAATTTTGATTTACTGAGAATTTTTAACTAATATTATTATATGTTTTCAAAAAAAAATCGTACAGAGGTCAGTGATTTGTGTATAAAATAATTAAATTATTTTTCAACCAATTTTCAAGTATATAAAATCGTTTTAACCTTTAAAAAAATAATATAGAATCCTATTGAAACCTCTAAAATAATAAGATTAGCACTAAAATTAAGTCCTGGTAGTTTTAGCATTGAAAATATTTCAAAGTCACTAAAAAATATTTTTATAAAATAACACTTGCCTTGCCATATGTTAAAAATATTAAAGCAATGCTTTGCACTCTGTTTTCTTTATAATTTCATTTTAGCACAAATATCTTAATAGTACCCTAGTTTTTCTCACTGCATTTGATGACTGCATAGTTTAAAAAGGACAGGCCTTCGGCAGGCACTCTGGCGGGACTCACCTCGTAGCGTGTGTCGATTTCTGGCAACTTCTCCAGGAACTCCTCGACCATCTTTCGTTGCACGTGCGCCGAGCCGAGCCGTCACACACACACACTCACGCACACTCGCACACCCTCGGGCAGGACCACGCACACTCTAAGCCAGGCACACACACACGCACACGGAAACACAGATACAAATAGTAACAAGAATCCAAATCAGTTGACACGCACCAAAGCGAAAGTTTCACCTCATCAATTATGAACAGTTCCTAATTGCTGCTGGCAGGTTTTGCTACCTTATAGATAGATACAGTTGGTTCTACGAAACAATGTCGAGTTAAAGCTGAAACACCTGTTGTGGTTTTTGTAGTTGTTTTTGGATGTCACGCACTGAGAAATTCGTAGGTTGCTGTCCCTCAAAGGTTGTATCTGTGTTTTCACTGTGTGTTTACTGCTAAATTTGTTGTTTGTAGGTTGTAATTTGCACTTTCCGTTGTTGATGTCCTTTCCGTGATTGTCCTGGGGAGGGGGATATTGGATGTACTGCTTGTTCTGGTCACTTGGCACTTGATTTTGGGCGGTAATTTTACGAGAATGCAATGGATTCTAGGAGGCGAGGATGCGAAGATGCAGCAGCGGGCGCGAAAAAAGGAAGCTTAAGCTGAACCAAAACATGTGCCAAAACTCCCTCTCTGCTTAGCCAACTCCTTGGGCTCCTCTTTGTGTGTGCGAGAGACCAACAACCAACAAACGCTGCCCGTTCACTGCCGTTCAGCACTAACAACAAACTGCAGAAAAACAAAACATTTATAGCCAGGCCAGAGGCAGCAGCAGCAGCAGCGGCAGCACCAGCACCCGAGTCCGCGTATCCACTCGTATCTCAGCGGCCCGAGCGGGATGTTGTACTAAAAACTGGCCAATCGACAGCAGCCGAGCATCGTCACTTCATCAAATCGCTGCCGATGCGATGCTGGCCGATGAGCCTGATGCTAGCTTCGAAAAAAAGAGTGCGGACCCTGCCGGCGCCGGCGCAGGGAGGACGCTTAGAAGAGGGGCAGAGCCGCAACTCCTCTTCGCTCCTGTATGTATTCCGCATTCTGGGGATTCCCCCTCTCGACTTGACACACATCGGCCGAGCTTGCGATCCAAAAACAGCAGCCTCCAGTGGATCGCATTGGAGTGCCGAGTTGCCGAGTGCCGGAGTACCGAAGTGGCAAGTGTGCGGAGTTGCATGTTGCATGTTGCCTTTGTTTTGCCAGCACTTGTAAATAATTTGCAGCTAACGAAGGCGGCGCCACTCAAAGAAGTCCGCATCTGAAGGACCCTTCTCTTGCTCTATCTGCTGCTCCTTCTACATTCCAAGGATCGAGGGATCTAAGTCGGCTAACAGTTATCATTAATCTCGAGCACACACAACGCACGATGACACACACACACCGCAATTGATTGCTGTCAGCGGGCGCCTAGCGTGTGTTTGCCTAGCAATTACCACCGGTAAAAACTAATGCCGGCAACGAAGGCCCAAAATATGCCCCAGGGGAGGTGCACTTTAACGACACTTAAGAGCTCACGGGTCTTGCCCAGATTGAAATCTGGCCCTTGGATAGTTAAATAAAGGTCATTGTTGTAGGGAAATGAAGGATATCAAGTTCGATTTTAAATTAATAAAAGGGGATTTAGAGAGTTCTGAATGAATATATTTTCCATTAAGTAGCATTTATTTGACGAATTTCTATATAAATGAGATTCATTAATTTTTTTAATTATTAAATTTATAAATATGTATATTAAAGGATAAATTTTTTATTGGATATTATATACAAATAATCTCGTTTTCTCAATTGAGTTTTAATTTAAAATATATGTTATAATATATTTCAAGTAAAGATTCATTGTTCATATTTTGACTTATCTAAACCTTGAATATACTGATGGCCAAAAAGCAAATGAATGCCAAAAGTCGTGTATATTCGAAATTAAAATGTTACTTGGTTCAATTAGGATTGATTTACAATTCGATTTAATCCAATTTTAAAATGCTAGGATATAGAATTATCGGTTTATGGATGTCAGCTTCTTTTTTGTCAAGGCCAAATGTATACTTTTGCCTAATAAAACGAATTACTTTTCTGATCTTAAGACGAAACACCGACTATCAACTGGTTTTTTAACACCATAGAGCACTTCCAGAACCCTTAACAATCCACCCATTATCTCGATCCCCATTACTTATGCGCAAGTTCCAGTGTTAAGCCAATCAATGATGAATAATTCCTTACAAAGGTCCCGCTTTTGACTTCGTAGTTACAATTCAAGCACTTACCGAACCCATTGCTGCCATGAGTGTGGAGTTCTAGCCGTCGCTGTACTCGATGTACTCAATACTTAATGGACACCAAAGTTGAACCTGTGACCGCACCAACCGACCTGCCAAGAAATACTGAGCTGCCAGGGAAAGCGACTAATCAGAGCCCGACTATAGTTACCGCTGTAATGCAACAATTGGCTGGCCCGCCAGACACGTCATCGCACAGGAGGGTAGGGTCGGGTCCTTCCGTGGGAATAAAAACAATTACTTGTCAGCAGGACAGCTCTACACCCTCCATGATTATCTCTATCACACAGACCCTCTTAGCCCCGAATAAGTGGCCCTCGAATGTGAATTCAACGGAATTCGACTCTGTCGTCCAACGTGGCGCTTTCGAATTAAATTCAAGTGCTTTGCTATTTGTGGTGCCGATTTTAGAGTCCTTGAACGCAGCTGCTGCAGTGGGTCTCCTTTTCCGGGCGCGCATTGAATTATTTACATGGCAAACAGTTGAATTAGCCGAGCTGCGGGTGTGTCCTGGTCAAGTGCAAATATGACATAGGCACGTACTACACCTACGTAGGAATTGAAAAGCCTTAAATTATTCACAAAAGTTCGTTTTCAATGATATATTTTAAACGAACCGCCAAGTTTTGAATGATAATTTCAGACACAAGCTGATTGGTATGAAACTTGGTTGGGTACTATGCTTGTCTCTTTCACTCTTTTGCGTGTGGAACCTGTTGAGTGAGAACAGTGTGGAATCGGTTGAGTGAGCACAGTTTGGACTGAGAACCGTTTAATATTATTTAAATTTTAATTACTTTAATTAATAATTCTAAAAAACGTTTACAGTATTTTAAAATCCCACAGAAACCCAAAAATATACACAACACTCCAATTTCGTTTGCAATTTGTATTTGGAAATAATTTTCATATAATTTCTGACAAACTTGAACATTGAATTAATTTCATTAGACATTTATAAATTTCATTTGTTACTCTTTTCGTTCTTGTTCATCGTTTTTTTAGCGTATGCTCGGACTCGTTCCCTACTTTCCGTTTGATATTTCGTGTTAACGTTCCTGCCTTTACTGTTCCCACTTATGTTATTCTCTAATTTAATTAAATTTATCCGTATAAATGTGTTTGCCGTCTCTGCAGATCTTTTGGCGTTACTGGAATTACTAGAATCAAAAGGGTACATAGAGATGGATTAGCTACAAAATACACTTGGCGCAGTAAATTACAATACAAAATAAAGAGAATTAGGTAAATATCATATAAGCGCGAAAGCCTTCCGCCGCATATTTGTTCCTACGTATATTTCAGTAAATACTCGCTTCGCTTTTGGGCTAAACACTTGTCCGAATTCAATATTTTTTTGGTTTGGTTATATTGCCTGCCTATATATTCATTACTACGATCAAAAAAAACCTCGAGTCCTCAGTTTGTCAGCGCGCGCTCTATTTAGCCTAGCCTTCTGTCCCTACGTCGTCTCCTCAATTAAGTACTATGGTAGTTGTCTTACGTTTAAGAGTTGTGCTTAAGGTTAACCTATGCTGCGGTTGCTCGTCTCGATTCCATCATTTGTTATTGCTGCTGCTGTTGGAGTTTGGTGTTGGTGTTTCTGTTGGTTGTTGGTGTTCTGGTTCTCTCTTGGTTTTTTTTATTGGTGAGCGATTCGCATTGGATGTACATACATGACTATCAGAATAATGCTTAGATTAGTTACGGTTCCATATGATACAAATGATTGTAGGCAGGTGGTTGGTGGTTCACTTGACTCGCAATGTTCCGTTGTGTTCGTCCCTACAAAAAATGCTACCTATCAGTAATCAGTTAACATTATGGATAACTACAAAATAAAAATCTAAGCTTAACGAAACCCTAAAACTGAACAGCCAAAGAAACTAAACGTAATCCATTGAGTTGCCAGTCAAACTAGCTGTGGCCGGAGCTCGTCTGCGCCTCCGATATATTCGCACTGAGTACCGCCGACACGACGGTGTTGGAAGTGGAAGAGGATGCTGATGCGGTTGAGAAGGCGGGTGCTTTAGGGGATTTGCTTTGCTTTGAACTGCGCTCGCGCTCCATTGCCATCTGCCAAATGCCAAAGACCTCCTCGGGGGTGACGGCATGGTTGGTGAAGAGGAAGGGCGGGTCATCTAGGTCGGTCGCTCCCTCGAGGAGCTGCCAAACGTCTTTGCTCTCCAGATAGTGATCCATCGAGGTGATCTTTGTGCCCGTCTCCTCAGCCAGTATGCCCGTGACGAGCACATCGTCCACCCAGAAGTATTTGGCCTTCTGGGCCGCCTTATACAGGCGACGAACGACATCCGAGGCGTACACGATGGCCATGCCGGGACAGTAGTGCGGGTAAAAGCGGTGGGGGTACTCCTTGTAGGTCACCCGCCACTTGGACTGCAAAGGAATGAATTTTAATTAGTAAGGCGGCATTAATTAAAACGAATTTTCAAGGGGTTTTGCTTCCACAGATGTTGGCTATCGATTGGAATAGATTCTTTCGATGTGAAACATGCCAGGTGGTCTATATCATTGCATTTCTTTTTAGCAAAAGCTACAAAACTCAATTTTTTAATAAACTCAGTGAAGGCGCAACCCCGAAAGCATATTTTTACAATAGGACTCACCCGATAGCTTCGCTTGACCCTCGACTCCTTGACCAATCGGCAGAGCAACAAGTCCGGCTGCGCCAGGAGCGCATGCTCCGGGAACGTGGGATCCTTTATGTATCTGACCAGTTGCGGAGTGTTCACAAACACGTCGTCGTCCACCTTGACCAGCAGCTGTGCGTGTGCACAGTTCTCGGTGAACCACTTAAGGGCCATCACATGCTTGTAGGTCATGTTGCGGTAGGCGTCAAGGAAGTTGCCCTGGATCATGTCCCCATAATACTTGTTCTCCCACTCGATATACTTCTGCCATGAGGGGACATACTTATCGGAGACGGCTCCGACCAGGAACATCACCCGGAGCGGCGTTTGATTTATGTAAGTGCGATTCGCCCACGTTCCTCGGATGAGTTTCCGCTTCTCCGCGTTGTCAATGGCCGAGTGAATCAGGACCAGAGCCTTAACGTCCTTATCACAGGCTGGCTGATTGATCTTGTATTCGAAATTGGGCATGTCCATCAGGTGGGTGCTCTGGCCCGGAGAAGCGGGCGTTCGGGATGTCGTCGGCCAGGGTGTGGCCGGGCGCTCGAATGTATTGCTAACTAGGCTATCGTTAAGACTAAGTGTGCGACTAGGCTGGTATGGTATTTGGTTTGGTTTGCTCCGGCTACCCCGGGTTCGTACGAATCCTCCAGCTGTTCCCGCTGCCGCACCTGCTGCTGCTGCTGCTGCTACTCCTCCTCTGTTGGCACTCGTAGGCGGATGGAGGGTGCTGCTGATCCCGGCGAAATCGACCTCCGACTCCAGCAGCGTCACCTGCTGCACACTGACCAGCCAGATGACCAGGCAGACGTTCAGGCAGATGATCAGCAGGCACAGCGATCGCTTGTCCATCCTAGCGGCTTCTTCTAATTGGGTCTAACTCTATATCCGGGCAGCTCAGACGGAAGCGTTTTCTGCGTGTCTTGGCCATTTAACTCCGGATCCAAGTGGCTGCAAAGGAAATGTGGTAATAAAAAACAGTTAGTGAGTGTGGCTAGAAATTAAATAAGCTTATCACCATCACGGTGATAATGGCTGGGCCATTAGGGTAATTGATTGGCACGACATGTGGACAATTTTCTAAGTGGCCAGCCGGTTTGAACGGGTTAAGCGAAGAGCAGCATTGCTCTGGGTCAAGTTCACTGAACTGACGTCATGCCATCGCAACGCACCTGCCATAATTCATTCACACACCTGATGAATTCCGAGCGCTTCCCCCGCCGAACTGAAAATGTCCCCAAGTGTACTAACCAAGTATCCTCGCACTGAACCAGCGCCCAAGATAAGGTGACTTTATCGATTTATTGGTCGCGAAACCAGAGATTAAAGCTAATAGAAAATATAGTTGATTTGTTAATAAAATAATTCCTAGAAATGTTTAAAAGTTTAATGACAAGAGAATCTCCGTATGACTAAGTTTGGACAACTGATTAGGGGCTTATCAAAACACATAAAGGCAGGCACTTAATAGTTGTATTTTTTAATTCGAGTAGCTAACCTAGCACAATTTGTAAAACACAGTTGTCATAAAGATAAGAACTAATTGGCAAATAGCGGATAGTTATACGTAACCGATAATCGAACGCGTTGAAATGATTTTGGTATCGAATTCGAGTCAGTTGACCAATTAAGTGATTTACGGTAAATTCAAAAACTACAAAGAGGTAAGTGAAATTTTAATTATTTATGGTATGGATTGCATTTTCTAATCAATCAATATATTTTGAAGAGCTTTTTAGGCAGCTTGGCAAACTTCATTTGTGAAAGAAACATAACGATAAGTTATCAGTTTTTAGCAAATGAGTTTATTTCTATCGGCAAACCTTTCCCGAGTGCAAACCAAACCCAAAATTATATTGTGTCATAATAATTAATTGAATAATAAGATACTCTCTAATAAATTTTATATGGTTTGCCCATTGCGATACGAGTACAGGTGTGCAGTTCGTATTTAATATTTATAAAAGGCAACCGGATGAGGCACTTGGGTACATGTATATAATGCGCCAGACAAAAGTCAAAATCGAAAGGAAAACACTGAAAGTCACTGTCACGTAGAGGCTTTACATAAGGTTCTACATAGAGGTAAATAAAATGATTACCTTTTATATGCAAACTCATATCTTAAAGTATTTTGTTTTGAGGTTAAATTCAAGCACTAGTATTAAATTAACGCGACAGAATAAAGTCAGTACTTTATTAGACCTCTGTTCGAGGTGTTCCACAATCACATACTGCCTTTATGTCGAACAAAATGCACCAAAGATACCATGAAATATAGGAGAGTGAAATGCAACGAATGAAAGATTATCATTTTATTGAATACCAGGGGACTTACAATTCTCATGTCTGCAACAGCACGCCCGATTAGATTAGCCACGTGAGTTTTATAAATTTCCGATAAGATATATTGGTTTATTAATGACAGATGGTCTGGTTTCTGTCCTGTTCCGCCCTATATTAGTTGCATTTAAATATTTTATGATTGCCGACGAGAGCGTCACAAATAAATTCGAGGCCGAAACGGGGCGGACAACACGAAACGCTATAAACTTTTTATTTTCATGTAAATTCCCCGCCAGAGTCAATAGCTTTCTACGGGCATGGTTAATGTAAAAGGACTGTAACGGCCTGGTCGTTAATGGTCTATGGTAGCACGCAAAGCTCGTCCTGTTTTAGCCAAATATAGAAGTAGGGGGGTTGGAAGTTTGAAGTACAATTTTTCAGGGGTGAAAAGAAGCGAATTTGCCGGATGCGACGGCCTCAAGATATGCAAAAACTAATTACAATCGAAGCTATGACCTTTCCTAACTGCGGGACCTGCAGACTTGGCCAAAAACGAAAGAACTGACGACAACTTCTGCTTTGGGCTTTAGGCCAGACCAAGGCCAATGTGCAATGCAAAATGAAGTTTGCCTGCAGGCCCGGTTTCGAGGGTTGATTCACCAGTAATTGACTGCCAACGGTCACGACATTTGATGGCAGCGATTAAAAAGTATGTGTAGGTTTTTTTTTTTTTTAATATGTAGAAATTTGCAGATGGTTTTCCCTCTATTTAATAATTAACAAAAGAAATTGTTTTTCGTGATACATATTTTTTAGGAAACACCATTTTCATGTTACGGATTTGTTATCAAATGGCATGTGCCCTCAGTGAAAGTAACTAGACTTGTTTCTTGATGGGCAATAATTGAATTTTCCTAAAAAAATTTCAAATATTAATGAAAACAAGAAATGAAGCTAACTTCGGCAAGCCGAAGTTTGTATACCCTTGCAGATTGGTTTCGATGTTTATAATATAGATTTAAATGCTGAAAACACTCACAAAGCAAAGTTTCATTACATTTTATCTATACTTATTATGTTTACAGTTTGCAAGTTACAGTTTTACATTCCCAGCCTTACATTTTCCCTACATCTACCGATCGCTCCTATGGCAGCTATATGATATAGTTGTCCGATTTTTATGAAATTTATACCAAATTTCTAGAATAATAAAAAAAGCTTATATCTCAGAGTAGATAAACATACGATAAAAAACAAGGAAGCTATAATTTTTTTTCCTATTTATTTCTCGATCGTTCCTATGGCAGCTATATCATATAGTCGTCCGATTTTCATAAAATTCTTACCAAAATTCTAAAATAATATAAAAAAGCCATATCTATAAAATGGTGCAAAAATGTTGAAAAACAGCAAAGTTATAATTTTTTTTCTACAAATATATCGAACATTTGTATGGCAGCTATATGATATAGTCGTCCGATCCGGCCCGTTCTGACATATATAGCAGTGAGAGCATATAGAAGACTATATGCAAAGTTTCATTCAGATAGCTTTAAAACTGAGGGACTAGTTTGCGTAGAAACAGACAGACGGACAGACAGACAGACGGACAGACGGACAGACGGACATGGCTAGATCGACTCGGCTGTTGATGCTGAACAAGAATATATATACTTTATAGGGTCGGAAACGTCTCCTTCACTGCGTTGCAAACTTCTGACTGAAATTATAATACCCTGCAAGGGTATAAAAACATTGCACTTTGATTTCTAAAGCTGACGAATACATTTTACTCAACCACTTTCAATGAACAGCAATAAACTCCAAGTAGGCAGCTCACATTGACCTCTAATTAATAATTGTGATAATTATCTGTGGGTTACCCATCTTTGTCGGACTTATAAATAAACTGGCCTGCATTTCGTGACACTTCTAGGCATGATAAGAATTCAATTACTCGGCGGCTTCATCAATTACTTGATTGCCCTTTGCCCTGGAGCATGGTGTACTTTATAGCAGACGGGTTCTGGTAAAATTAATTAAGTACATTCCAGTCAAGAAATACTATTTTAGAGCTAAAACTAGGCAAACGATTTTGCCTATGATAAATATATAACTTCTTTTTGACATTTTTGTGGATATTCCTTATACATATACAAATAATATGGCCATCTTCTTTTGTCAATATCGTTATTACTGTATACCCAAAGCTATACTAACATTGTATAATCATTTTATTATTGATTTGCACCCATTTCTTTGTATGATTTAAAAATTACAGGATTGACCTCGAAAACGGTAACATATTTGGATAGTAATACCTTCCGATTGGCTGGCAAATATTTGCTTACGATATATAATTACAGTGAATAAACACTCCCAGAGGGCGAGTCGATAAAGATGGTTACCCATGGTGCCTGTCTGTGCAAACATTCCTTAGATGCCTCACCTTTGCGGCCATTACTGTGTGTTCACACCTCTCGTGAACTCTACGAAAATAAGCCTAGACTCCGTCTATAATAGTATATAGAATAGGGGATGGGATAGGGTGTTGGGTATTGGGATGGGTGCCAGCGATGGCATTTTGCAGTCGATAAAATGCCAACAGCAATGCCGAACAACTTTTTCAAGTCGAAGGTTAAATTTTATCGTGGTCTGAATGGGCAACAAAAACATCGACAGCTCTGGGCAGGCTATTCTTCTATTGTTTATCGGGTATCTGGGCTTTGATTAGTTGCAGGCCGCCGCCAGAGGAGGAATTGTTTTCATTTCATTCAGAATGGCAGCCGGTTGGCACGGCGAAAACTTGGCTGCTGCCCAAAAACACTTTGTGAATGCCTGTCATGTTGTCTCTCACTCGGCCAGCCAGCCAGCCAGCACACAATGCAACGAGAAAGGCAACTTTCACGTGCACTACTGATATCCGAGAGGGTCTTGTGGTAATTGCCATCAATTCGGGCAGGAATCAGGGTGCAATATTTATACACAGTACTGCGGTGGAAATAGCGGGGAATATGTAAATTCAGGGTTCATTGCTGCATTTCGATGTTTGTGGAAGGTAATAGTCCTAGTCCAAGACCAATGATTTGTAGTGTGCTTTTAGGCAGGGTTTTACATGGGCTTAAATCGCTTTAAAGTTTTCTGGCAGGCGTTTACAAACCAACTCTTATTTATAGTCAATAACTTGCTTCGTAACCTTTTATAAATTTCATTGAATTATAAATGACACCTTAAGTACACTAAGATATTTCTTGGCTACTCAAGTGCAAGGCAAACAAATAATAACTAATTTACGCCCTCATATAACTCGAACTTATTTCAAGGCAGCACTTAAATACGGCTCGTAATTAGCAACAAAGCGAATCGCCACACACAATAACCAGCAACTTGAAAACAAACAACAAGCTAAACATGAGTGCAGAAAATTGCAATTCCAATTTTCAGTCAATGAGCCAGTTGGTTTGGGAATTACGTGTAAGTACGTCTAACTAAGAGTTGTTTAATCGAAAGTGTGGAAATAGGTTTTAGCTGAGCAGCTTTCAGGAAACACAGCTTGAGTTGAGTTTGTCGATGACTCCTAAACTGGTTTGTGACGTTAAGTAAGTGCAACTTAAAATCGCATCCACTTTGTTTCGCAATAGTGCTTTCAGTCTGGTAATAGTTAT